ATTCTCCCTCGCTCCGGGTGCTTCCCCCCTCTGCCCCCTCCAGCTCATGCGTTTCCTTCCTCCTCGCCCCCGTTTTCCTTCTTCACCTTCTCTTCCGAGCCGTTGCCTTCACTTTTCCCGGCTCCTTCCCCACTCTTGGCATTGGGGACCCAGAGCCCTGAGTCGATGCAGCGCTGCATGTGGTGCTTGGCTTCCTGGAATGGGACAGGGAACAAGCTCAGGGCGGGGGCTCCCCTTCCTGCTTCCCCACTTCCAGGAAGTGCTGGGAGCATCCCGGGATGGGGAGGAAGGGAAACACTCACAGTTGGATCCATTTTGCTGATGGCATCTTGTAACATCTGGACATCTTTGACATCGAAGCATTTCTGCAGCTCCTGTGAGGGCAAAGCAGCACATGAGACCCCCCTGCCGAATCCCACCACATCCCAGTTTTCCTGCTTTATCCCTAAGAAACAAGAGAAAATGACCTCAAGCTGCACCAGAGGAAGTTTCAATGGAGACTGGGATGAGTTTATGCACTTAAAGGGTGCTCAGGATGGGAACAGGCTGCCCAGGGCAGTGCTGGAGTCACCATCCCTGGAACCATTCCCAAGCCATGTAGTGCCACGGATTAGTGGTGGCCTTGGCAGCGCTGGGAATGGTTGGATTGGATGGACCCCAACCCACACGGACAAAGCCCTCAATGCCATGGGTTAGCAGTGGCCTTGGAAGTGCTGGGAATAGCTGGATTGGATGGGTCCCAACCCATGTAGGTGATGCCCTCAATGCCATGGGTTAGTGGTGGCCTTGGAAGTGCTGGGAATGGCTGGATCGGATGGAACTAAAGCTCCTTTCTGGGCTGGTTGGTTCTTGGAGGGGACACTCACGGGTGGGAGGGACTCATAGACCTCCACGGGGTCAAGCCCACCAGGACCCAGGCGCTTCTGCCTCTCCTCCTCTTCATACTCCTTCATGGCCTTCTCGATGCGAACCTTGGCCCGGCCACGCACCCGCTCCTTGAAGGCCTCCAGCTCATCATTGAAGCCCTCCATGTACTGCTGGTCAGCTGTCTGGGGGGGGGGACATGGGGATGGGGGAGCACCATCACCTTCCGCGTCCCCATTTGGGGTCCTTCGCCCCATATGGGTACTGCTGCAGCAGCCAACATCTGCCAAGGTGGGGGTTCAAGGGGAGATAGGGGGGTCGTGAACAGGGAACAGAGGGTTCTGGAGGGGAGGGAGGGGGGGTTCAACCTGGTTCTCACCTTGATTTTGGTGAAGAACTGCCTGAAACAAGCCCTGGGGTCCACCTTGAGGCTCTTGGCCAGCTCGAGGATGAACTGCATGACGATGGTCTGGTGGGCGACCTGCTCCATCAGGGCATGTTTCTGGAGGGGGAAGGAGAAGGGGAGTGAGGAGACCCCAAACCTCCCCCCTCAGGTTCTCCAGAAAGGGCTTTTTCAACCCCAATTATTCCCTGGTTTGGGAATTCTGCATCTGGCTGGAGCCCTCTGGGGCTGAGCCCGGAGAGGAGGTGGCTCCAGGGAGACCTGCTGGAAGTGGGTTGATCCTGACTGGATCTACAGGAGAAATCCATGATGCCAAGGGGGAGGAGCTCCAAGGGGAATCCCATTGGGATCATGCCTCCAGAGAGCAGCAGCAATGCCAGGAAAGTGGGGGGGGGAGCTCCTGCCCTAGCTCCAAGGGGAATCCCATTGGGATTGTGCTTCCAGAGAGCAGCAGCAATGCTGGGGAAGGGGCTGGAAAAGAGGGAAAGAAGGAGGCTCCAGGGACAAGAACTGCGCCAGGCAGGGATTATGTGAGATATCCAGGATAATTCCCTCATCCAAAGGGCTGCGGCGCTCTGGAACTTGGGAAGTGCTGGAATCCCCATCCTGAGGGCCATGGTTTGCTTCGCTCCAGGTTCCTGATGGGACTCCAGCGCCTTCAGCGCCTTTCCCAACCTAAACCATCGCCCACTTCCAAGCAGGAAAAGCCAATCCCAGCCCCAAGGCTTCCTCACCTCCTCCACCTCCAGGTCGATGCACCAGATCACCAGGTAGTTGGCTGTCTCCTCACACACCAAGTGCGGGTTATCCGAGAGGTACTTCTGGCTGTCGTCCCAACGCCGCAGCATCCCTGCGGACAGGGGAGCCCCGGTGATCCCCCCGGGCCAACACCACCTCCTCGGGGACACACACACACACACAAGGACTCAACCCCCCCCCAAATCATCCATTTCAACACTTCCAATGGGTCATTTTTGACTTAGGGGGTGCTGCAAGCACTGGGAACCCCCCAAAATTGGGGGGTCGCCCCCTCCCCCCCCCCCCCGCCTCAGCACTCTCCAAAGTGTTTGATCTGCTTCTCATGTCTCTCCACAAAGGTTTTGTGTTTCTTCTCCTTCTGCTCCTCCGTTTCCTCCTTCTCCTCTGGTTTGACATTGAAGACACTCTGGAAAAGGGAAGGATGTGAGGGACCAGCCCATGGGTGGGAGGGAGGTATCCCGAGGGGGGGGCCCCAATCCCAACCTTGCTGAAGCCATCCTTGCTGAGCGTGTCCACGTTCCAAGGCAGGTTCTTCTCCTTCTTCTTCAGCTCCTCCAGTTTCTTCTCC